TAGCCATAATGATAAAAAGATACAGATATTAAAAACCAAAACCAAAAGCCAACACGATAACTATCAAGATAACGATATCGATAACTATAACGACGAAAAATCGATAATCAATTTTATGCGTTGCACATTGGAGCTCGTCTCCGCAGAGCGCATGTTCTCTTTACTTATATCTTTTTAAGCTTATTTCTACATATTTCGACTCTATTCGAGGCATTTTTTTTTAATTATTCGGGTGTTTGTAAGAAAGTTCAAGATACAATGAAATACATTACCGTCTGTTATGACTCTAGCAAAATCTAGCTATTCAAATTTATCTCGTGGGTAACGAAGTTCCTTGACCATCTCCATCCCAAATTTTTTTGCAAAAGAAAGTGCTGTCACTTTTTCAACACTTACACTTCCGGCATATCTTTAAGTAAATGTGTGTGCATTAATGTGAATATTCAAACACTTCTTTATATTGTTATGTCCCACACTTGCGTATAAATGCGTGTTTTTTTTTTTCTTGGCTAAAACTTTTGAAAGGAAAGTATGTACAGTAATGCATACATATCTACATATCTACCTAAATATGTACATATCTATATAATGTATGTACGGATATATGTTTTACATATTTATCTGTACAAAAATACATACATACGTACTATATATACACATGTGCGTATTTGTTGTCCGTGTGAGTTTGCCTCTGCCGACAAATTTAGTATTTTATGAGAACAATTCAAATTTATTTTTGTTTATGTTGCTGCAAGCAAATTGGCTAAAATTAACAAGCTCTTTCTCGACCACTAAGAATACCTTTTATTCTAAGGGCTGTTTTCTGAAGTAACCTGTAACTTTAAAGCTCACTTTATATTTAAAGGTTGAATTAAACAAAAGCTATGTCTAAAGTTAAGCATTTCTATTATCGGTTTTTGGCGTATGTATGTTTCTTGATTGTAAACCAATTTAAAACCGATAATAAAATGCTTTACGTTAGACACAATCATAAATTTTAATGCAACCTTTAAATAAAAAGTGAGGTTTAAAGTTACAAGCTACTTGAGGAAACGGCCCTAAGAATACCTAATACTCTACATACTTAAAAACATACTGAGAGTAATGTATGTATGTACCTATGTGCAAATGTGCCAG